TCGAGAAAGGGGGATTGACCAAACCTTTCTCCAGAAGCCTGTCACCTGAGACTTAAGACCAGTGGCTGCGCTATTCGCCTTTAATTGGCTGACAGGTACCCAGTTTTGTTGCTTGTTAAAAGAGGTCATCTAAGGGAGAAACTTCTCCCAGGAAAGAAAAGAGTCCGCTTTTACTCACCCTTCGATGGGAGTGATCCTGGGTTTCGGCACCAAAATGATGTGGGAGAGTGAGGTTCTTGTCTCATGCAGTCGAAGAATGAATCTCGCGGACAACGGGAGTAAAGCGAGAGAAGTTATATTAAGTGAGGATACAGGAAAAAAGCTCTCGGGAGTGAGACGAATCCCAACAGGGTTGTCACTGAGGGCTTTTAAGGATGGTCTTTTATAGAAAGCTAGCCAGGGAACTTAAATCTGTTTAACATCTCTATTGATAGCACCTTCAATGGCTTACTTCCTTTTTAGGGTCTGGTAATTCTAGGTTGGTCACAAGTAGCTGTTAGAGTAAGACCTCCCCTCTGACACCTAGGATGGTCTGGTTTGTTCCCTTATCTCTGGTTTCCTTTCATCTCCCACATTTTGAATTTTGTGAGCCTGATCACATCCCCCTACGTAGCCCTACCTGTCCCTTATTCAGTAGTACTTATCTTCAGACCCACCTAGTTTCCAGGTAAGACCATTGAGGAGGAGGGGAAAGATGCAGTGATTATCAGCTTTGTTTGACTTAGTGTTTCTAGCCCTAGCTAAATGTCTACCATGCAGTATGGACACAAAGGGCTGGTGGATAAATGATAGGAAGGACAGCAGCTGAGATCACAGGTGACATGGACAACCTGGTCAATGGGGAAAAGGCAGTGTTTTGGAGCCAGGGAGCCCTGGGTTTGAATTCTAGTTCTGCTGCCTCCTTTCCTGTGTGGCCCAACACACGTTCTTTTACCTACTGAGACTATGACTCCTCTATTTTAAGTGGGGCTACTTACTGTTGGGATTTCTAGGAGCCAATACAAAAATGATCTTTTACTCCTCAGTTCTGAACAGACTATGAGAGTGATAGCAATTGAATTATCGGCTTAATTACTGATAAAGGCAGCCAGAGATGTGGCTTAAATCTATAGTGAATGGTCTTACTAATAGCCCTGTCCTATAAATCAGTGGAAATGGAGGAGTGGGAATACAGCTCCCCTCACCACTTGCCCCCCAGGGCTTTAGGGTGGAATGATTTCATTTAGGTGGGCAATCAGGAAGTCTTACTTTTCACTCTTCTCTCTCAATCAGATTTTGAATATTTCAGAAATCAGCTGAAATGAGCATAGACTGGGCGACACAGGACTAGCAGGGCCTTTATTTAAAAAAACCTGTATGTGCCTGCTATAGCCTCATGGGCTGTTCTGCCCCCTAAGCAGTGATTCTTTGGGGCCAGGTAGGAGATGGCTTTGTTAATGCTAGATGGAGGGATTGTTCCAAGCAAATGTTTAGGAAACCTACTATTGCTAAAATGGGTTCCTAGCAATAATGCCGTAAGTAATAATAATAATAAACCTTTCCTGAGCTATATTTTTAGAAGTTTAATCTGCTAGATCAGATTAGATTCTGGCTGATCTCCTTATTTAAGCACTAAGGAGAAATCCAGGGAAAAATGGCGCCATCACGTATCATGAGTATCAGGAAGAGATTTACGTTACTATTTGGAACAGTTTGTAAGATTCCTGGAACCTTTGTACCTCCACCCCTCTTTGCTATTTTTATTACCATCTGTCTGCTCTCCTATAAGGATTAGCTAGAAAGGTCTGAAAATGGAAAGGACTTGTGTGTGTATTTTCAGTAGCAACAAACAGCCGTGAGGTGACCAATCCTGCCAAGTGGGTGAGGAGCCCAGGAGGGGAGAGTGGGTCGTAGCATGCCGCAGGCTACATCTCAGGAGTCTGTGGAAGGAGGGGAAAAGATAGAGTAGCCGAGTGGAGATGGGGGTGGGGGGCACAGGCAGTGAATCCAGGACAGAGAAATTACCCTAGGTTCTTAATCAGCGAGAGACCCACCCATGTTCAGATTTCCCGAATTTAGCTAGACTAAAATTGATGCTTACAACAGCCAGAAAAAATTTTTGTTGGCATTTCCTGATTTAAAAATAAGACTAACAGCTCCTTTTAAGTGAGTTATCCTAATATTACAGATATTTTAATTTGAATTCTTGGATCAAGTGGATGAAATAATGTAGAAATTAATTCATAAATCTTGGCTACCAGGAAGTGAATAGGACTTGTGAGTTGTTGGACAACACTCCTGTGTACATTAGTTTTTCCCAAATCCTTTGACTGCTGGTATTTTATCCTAAGAGTGGGAATGGGAAACACTCTCCACCCCCATGCTCAGGCTTAGAATCCACTGGAACTTGTGGGATGAACATTTTACCCAAATATAGACCTTTCGGTGATTAAGCTAATTTACTCTTTTCAAACTGTGACATCCTGTTTATAAGAAAGAAGACTTCTAAAAAGTCATCTTGAGTACGAACTAACTTCTAAAGTCAACATGTTGGTGAACTTATGTGTTAAGTGAGTCACAACTATTTGGATGAAGATTTTTCTGGTTTTGAAAGAGAAAGTACTTGGAAAAAAATGTCATTTTGGTTTCAATGAAATGGAAACCTTTGAAAAATGGAATTTGCTAGCGAGCCTATCATATAACAAGTTTCCACACACACTTCTTAAGTCACTTCTCTGAATTTGTAGAGCTGCTACCCCCCTGGGCCAAGTCTTAACCATCACGAGATGCATTTGGCCTCCACAATCCTTCCCAGAAATGATACTTTTTAAAATTCTACACAAGGTAAAATTTCTACAATATTTTGAAAGTCACATTATTTACTTTGGAAACTGGGTTTTTAAAATTATTTTTTTGTCCCCAAAGCAAGCTGAACCTGTGTCTATTCAGATTACTTGCCTGATAGAAAAATGTTCTCTTTTTACTCTGACCTTTTGATATTTGAAAATGTCATTGCAGGCAACTCAAAGTCTAATTTATTGCTATGTTATATTCAGCATTTTATATCTGATTTTAATGTGTACTTGCTATTTATTAGCAGTTCTTCTGAACATATGGGTTGGATTTTTGTGACCTGGGTGCGTCCGCGACCCCTCTCAGCATCCCATCTCTGTGTCGTTCTCACTACAGGCCTTATTTCCTGCTCTGCCCTGTGACACGTTATATCTTTATTTAAGGATCCTGCTGCGTACTTCCACCTGCTGCTACCTCAAGCACTTCAGACCTATCATGTACCAGTTTGAATTACCTTTTTCTAAGTTTATTTATTTTATTTATTAATCTCTATACCCAAAGCGGGGCTTGAACTCACAACCCCATGATCAAGAGTCAGTGCTCTTCTAACTGAGCCAGCGCCCCCCCCACCTCCCCGGCCCGGCTTTTTTTTAATCCCCGTTCCTTCCCCTGCATTTCCTGTTCAGTGGCTAGTATCCTCTCCCGAAGGAGGGACTCTGGTCGTCCTAGAGCCCTTCCTTGACGATGCTGCCTCTACCACCTTTTCCTTCCATTCCAGCCCTAACTCAGGCACAATAAACTCTTGGCTAGTTTGGAACAAAAGTTTCTCATGGGACTTCCCTGTCGACCTTCCTTCTCTGCGGCTGGATCTTTCCATGCATATGGTCAAACGTGAATAGAAGACTTATCTATAAACTTTACCTATGCCCCATTGCGTCAGGAGCAAGTTTTTACAAGCTGACACAAATCATTTTTTCTAGATTCCTCCCTTCTGCCCATCTACTCCCTGGCCCCCCATCCATATGTAGCATTAGCTACCAAAAGTCCTTTGAGTATGTCGTATATTTTTACACTGAATTTTTCTCTGTTTTGATCTTCATTACTGAAGACTCCCTTTCTCTCTTCTCACCTTTCCCCTTCCAGAAGTAAAAAAAAAAAAAAAAAAAAAAAAAACCAAAAAAAAAAAAAAAAAAAAAAAAAAAAAAAAAAATCCTTTCTTCCATGTCCTCTTGTAAGCACTTTTTTAAAAATTCGTTTTTGCTGTCACTTGATCTACCCCATTATGAATGATTGTCTCTGTGAGGCTTTCTCAGGGTAAATTATGAATTTCTCAAGAGAGAGACTTGTTTCTCTCTCTTCTGAAGAGAAGTGTTGGAGCGTTTGGGAGTTAGTAAGTGCTCCATTAATATGTGCTGAAGTAGGGATGTGTTGAAATGTATTCAGATTCTTATAGGTGCAGTTTCTGTATCAAATGGATGGAGAAGTAACAAAGGTTACAGTAAAGCAGAAGAGCTCCTTTGCTAATTTTTTCTTGAGAGCCAAGGATTTAAATATGTGACATATATGGGAATTCCTCTGAAAAATCCAAGAATAATGAATGGCAGTATCATCTGCAAATCACTGTTTGTTCCGATTAGCCTACCAAGGCATTGTCTCAGACTTTTGTTATCAATCCATTGTACTGGTGATTTTAGAATAAGAACCACTTTCGGTCCAGGTCGACTTTTAATTGATTGGTTAGCTTGTATTGATTGGGTAGCATGAATTGATTGGCAGTAATGTAAATATGCTAAGTTGAATGCATACCCAAAAAAGTGTCATTTCTGTCTTCTACTTGTTACAGTAGAGGTGGAAAGAGAAACTAGTACATGTGGAATACTTAAGTGCTAGACTAGTTGAGGCAGATTATAATAAAAAAGAAACAGAACAAAGAAAAATCATTATGACCTGGAGATGTAATGAAAGGTCTCATTAAGAAGAACGTAGTGACTAAATATAACGCTTGGATGTTAGCTAATTGGAATTAAAATAAAAACTTAAAAAAAAAAGAACCTAGTGACTGGTTCTTGAAAAACAGATACGGACAGGAAAGAATCCCAAATGAAGAAAATAATGTGGAGGTTTGTTTTGTAAGCTACAATTCAGTTGATACTTTTAGCAAATATCCATATTGTTTACTTTCATATGAATATGAAGTTATTTTGTTCTGCTTTATTTTTCTCACACAGGTGGATCAGATATTGAATATCTAGACTTCTATAAGCCTGTCGTGTGGTTTTGGATCCTTGTAGGGCTTGCTTACTTTGCAGCTGTCCTGAGCATGATTGGAGACTGGCTCCGAGTGATATCAAAAAAGACAAAGGAAGAGGTAAGAATTAAGGAGTGTGCAAAAAATACTCCTATTTAGCTAATTCAGTAAATGTTATTTTTCATCTTTTTTGACATTTATTTTTTATTTAAGATTTTTAATATTTATGTTTGGTGTGAATTTGCTGTATGTTAAGTGTAATTCAGTTAACAGATACTTGCTAAACACCCTTATGTACCAGGTGCTGAGGCTAATTTATAATGAAAAAAGAGGTAATTTAAAATATTTTCCTCACTATTTCTTCTTTTTTCTTTTGTTTCATTTTTTTTTTCTTAAGGGCACAAGGTAAATGTTATTCCATAAAGAGAAATACAATAGAACATATTTATGTCAAAATGTCAATAGCATGGAAAAGTGAATGTATCATATAATATTGAATTTTTTTTTACTATATTGAATTATTTCCTTCTTTCTTATGTCCCTGTAAACCTGTGCAAGTACACATAGGTATGGATACATTCTGTGCCCAAAGCTGTATGCATTATGGCCAAGTTCCCTGTGTACAAATTTCAGGTGTTCAAAAAGATACTGTTTTACCCATTTTATACAACTATACATATAGAAATGAACATTAGAATTTTGACCCATGAAGTTTTGGAAAGTTTAAAATTTCAATCTTGTTCTTGAAATTTTATACTTTGGAAATTACATTTGGATTTCATAGTTACAGGTCCAGAAGTATTATCAGTTAAGTGTGACAGAGTAGTGTCTTATTACAAATTCTGAATTTTTGGTTTTTTGGTGTTAGCTAACTTTAACAATTTTTTTAGAGAACAAATCTGCAAAACCTGCAACAGTTGTATCCATTGTCTTCCTCTAATTATCCCTCCATTTCATTATCCAGTGATGTTCATATGCCAGGAGACACCAGTGTCAAAATCTTTGATACAGCAAGCATGATTCTTTAAACATAAACCCAAAAGAAACAGAATAAGATAGGAAATGATAAAATTAGTTTCTCTCTACAAATAAATACTTTCTTTGAAACTCTTCATCATATAAGTTCTTATCAGTGCCCACAGTGCCTATAAGGAATTAGACTGTGAGTTATCCAGCACTTCCCTTCATGGGTATCCTATTTCTCAGTTAGGAATTCACATAGTCTGTATGCATTAATCTGTATCTTAGTTGCACCATAAAACCAAAATCTTTTATTATCAACAAATCAGCAAGACAATGTGCTTGACATTCTGGTTTGAATCATGTAAAAAGTTCTGCTTTGAGCAGGACACCAATTGATTTTTTTTTTTTAAGATTTTATTTACTTGACAGAGAGAGACACAGCGAGAAAGAGAACACAAGCAGGGGGAGTGGGAGAGGGAGAAGCAGGCTTCCCGTGGAGCAGGGAGCCCAATGTGGGGCTTGATGTGGGGCTTGATCCCAGGACCCTGGGATCATGACCTGAGCCGAAGGCAGATGCTTAACAACTGAGTCACTCAGGCGCCCCAGGACCCCAATTGATTTGTCTCCATTTAGTTAGACTCATTTTGTGTGTGTGTGTGTGTGTGTGTGTGTGTGTGTGTGTTTGAGAGAGAGGGAATGAATGTGAGGGAAAGAGAGAGAGAATATTGTAATCGTTTGAACTTCAGTGTGCTTTTAAGGATCTTGAGATGCTAAGGGAAAAAAGGAAATTGTAACTAGGAAATGTTTTGGATAACATAAAAAAAAACCCTCAAACATCTAGCCATAAACTGGCTCTTAAGTGGATGTTAAAAACATACACACGTTTATTTTTTTAATTAATTAACTTTTAAAATTTGTGTATAGTTGACACACAATGTTATATTAGTTTTGGGTGTACAGCATAGTGATTTAATATCTTTATACAAGTGTAGCTACCATCTATCACCACACAATGCTATTACAATATTATTGACTATATTCCCTATGCTGTACCTTTTTTTTATCCCTGTGGACCTACTCATTCCATAACCGGAAGCCTGTATCTCCCACTCCCCTTCACCCATTGTGCCCCTCCTCCCACCCCCTTCCCTCTGGCAACCACCAGTTTGTTCTCCGTATTTATTGGTCTGATTCTGACAGGCATTTATTTTGTAAATAAAATAGAACTGAACAGATCTTCTACAGTTAGATAGGAAAAGGTTTGTGAAAGACACATACATATTATAAATACACTATATGTTATATACATACATGCGTATATAAATACTAAGACTATTGTGGATCCCAGTCAAAAAGTGTGAAAGCCACTAAGGCACATGTAGAAAAGGGGGAAATTGTATTTTTATGATGCTGGTATAGATTATTTGATCAAAGTTTAAAACCTGTACTATTAAAAAACCAGTGCTTTCTGTGCTAGGACTGGCTGGTACAAAGCATGAACACAGTTCTCCAGAGTAATGAGATAACAGTCTGCCTTAGTCGGCTCAGGCCGCTGTAACCGAATACCATTGACTGAAGGGCTTAAACAACAGACATTTATTTTCTCACAGTTGTGGAGGCTGGAAGTTCATAATCAAGGTGCCAGCAAGGTTAGTTTCTGGTCAGATCTCTCTCCTCAGTTTACGGATGCTGCCTTCTCCCCGTGGTCTTTACGTGGTCTTTTCTCTGAGCACCTGCCTGGAGAGAGAGTTCCAGTGGCTTTTCCTCTTCTTGTAAGGACATCAGTCAGCCCTGTAGACTCAGGGATGCACCCTTATGACCTCATTTAACCTTAATTACATCCTGAAAGGCCCATCTCCAAAGACAGTCACATTGGGGGTTTAGGGCTTCAACTTACGCATCTTTAGAGGACACATTTGGGGCCGTAACACCATCCTTTTGAAATAAAGTGAAATTTCTACGTTACCTGGCTATATTTAACAAGAAAAACAAGTTCACGTGCTTTCCTATGTGTGATCTTCATGATTCTCAAACAGAAGTATGAGATTTATCACTGTGTTTTTGTACTTTTAAACACTGAAAAGTAGTAAACTTTTTTTTTTTTCTTACCATAAGTCTTTGAGATTTCACCTGACCTTCGGACTCACATGTGGTTCTGGTGACTGCATCTGTAGAAAGCTTCTGTGAGTAAAGGCCACGAGCAAAATTTACTGTGAGCCTTCCTGGAGCTGCTCTGGGCGGTTGAGCCAATTAAAATGGAGCCACCAGTTTGAGCAGATGTGTGTTTTCTAATTCATTTATAATGCAGTTTAGGGAAATGACAGAGTTGAGTTACGGATTCAACAGAGGAATGTGAAGAAAGAAAGGGACAGACAATTTATAACTGATCTATAGATGATCAGAGCCAAAGGTTTTACAAACGGAAATACTACAAAAATGTCTACAGCGATGGAAGAAGGATTATTCGATCATTTTATTTTGAAATAACTCCCGAAAGGGCATAATTAAATAAAACACAACTAAATACATTCGAGTTGTCATCTTTACGTAGATGGACCATGCATGCCGGGTGACTGTTCTCTGTGTATTCCTTACCTTCCGTCCCTAAACCATTCCAGATACTGTACCCTTTACAAACCTCCTACATGTTCAGAAGCAACAAGGTTATATCTAGTTTTCAGTCTTGATGAATAAAAATGCATATTTTTGATCACTTGAAATTCTGTCTATTAAAAATGTAATGTAGAATAATCAAAATAATATATAGCATTAAATTTGCAAGTGATAATATTAAAACATACATTTTCCCCAAATGAAAGTATTTCGCCTAATAATGTCTGTTATGTATTTAAAAAAATATATTCTTAAACCGTATCAGTTGAGTATAAATATATACATCTAATCATATGTGGCCTTATTTCTGGGTTTTTTTATGCTAAAGTATATTTTGTTTCCAATGAGGACTAATTTTAATGAAAATGTGGTTAGAAATAAGGAAAAATTGTTTTTAATGAACATGCTGAAATAAAATATGTCGGTTTAGCTAATCCATCCGAAATATTTGCGGAAGAAATGGTTAGTTGAAGCAATACTGCATTGTTTCAAAATGTCACACATAATTATAGTTGATCTGCATTCCTCAAGGGAAATAATAATGACCTCAATCCTTTTTCCATGGAGGCACATGAGTTTCTGTAAAAGTGTTTATTTGTCTCATTATTTTTAAAAGTTTAATGGAGAGTAGGCGCATGTTCAACAAGAAGAATTGTATGACTAATTATCTTTTCCTTTTAAGCCATCTACCCTCTTCTGAGGAAATGATGTTTCCATTTAGAAAATAAAGATTACTTAGGTATTCTGGATAATACAATAAAACCACTATCTGAGGCAGGTATAATAAAAAGAAAAATGTGACCACAAAAGTCAGAAGGGAAATTTTGAAGTAAGCACAGAATCGTGCATCCTTCCTATGCATCATTTTCTACTGTTAACAGGCCTTCCATTTGAAAAGCCTATGATTTCTGCATAGGTCTTGTATTGATCGATGTATATGTTCCCATGTCTGGAGTGTTCCTGTCCATATGTGAGACGAACACCCCCACGTCGCCCCCAACCCCCAGCATGCCATTGTTGTCAGACCGCATGGCCCTGCAGCTGGCCACAGTGAGCGGACAGCCAAGCATCATGTCTTTACCAATGTCATGTGTTTTACTCTCCAGAGGGGTTCGTGCTAATGGAGATGCTCATGTTAGCAGGCTGGCCTTACATCATAGTCAAAACTGCCTTTGGTTGGGAGGCTGTGGTGCCAGAAGGCTCGCAAGACTGTGCCTGGAACTTAGTTGGCCCCAGGGGGCCTGAGAATATGGAGGAAGGCTTAGCTGGCAGCAGCATTTGGTCTTTCCCAGACCTCATGGGGGATGGTGAGGCCTCCTGTGAAAGAGCTGGGACTAGGCAGCCATTTTTCCTGTCCAGGATGGGCAAGTAAAGAGCATTTGCAGCCTGGGTCCTGGAAAGGTAGCAGCAGACCACTTTCTGTTATTTCTTATGGGAGAAGGGCTTTGACTAGGAAAGGCTTGTATGCCCTTTGAAATAGGTTAGCCTTTATTCTGAAAACCTGAGGGAGCCATTGAAGGATTTTAAGTAAGTGGAATGGATGA